GCAGGAGAGAAATAAAGCAAAGTTATACAAGTAATTAAAAGGGCAGGAGGGAGAAGGGGGAGGAATGATTGCATTCACCTATTCATGTTCATCCACGTTGACACACATTCCAGAGGAATCCATTTCTGCTGACCCCAAATCTTTGAGAGATTCATAGCCCTAGTTCTTGGCCATCTCATAATAAGATCCAATACAGAATTTTCTCCTAGAATGAACCTTTACTCGACGCATGTGACAGACAATTGTGAAGACGTTTAATAAGCGTTTGGGCACTTCTGGAACTATGCTAAGACAGAGAGACCTCTCTCAAGGACTGCATGTTATCACACACTTTCAAGACAAACATATTCAGCAGGCTCCAGCACCATCTGTCTGCGCAAAGCACCCTGCTGAGTAGCAATGTGCTTTATCTATTCACCAAAATATGCATAGGTAGCTCCATAATCAAGAATAAATAAATGCTTCGGTTTTGGGTCAGAGCAATTGAGACAGGAAGGCAGTGAAGACGGAGAGAACGAGAAAGAAAATGACAGAGTCAGAGATGGACAAGGCACCTGTGGAGGACAAGGGCAGTCGGATTCAAGCGCCGACAGGCATGGAACATTTAAAATAACTGTAATTTCCCTAAGGTGATTTGGCACTCCATAAAGAAAATTAAGCTTTATCATATCCTTGCGAGTAAAAACAGTTTCAAGTCCAAGTTGGATTTATAAGATTAGAAGACATTCTCTCCATCTGTTATGCTATTCACCTCCATGATATGCAGAAGTCTCCCGCATTAGTTCTGCACTGTAAGGAGCATTTACAAATCCAAGTATTACTGACGTCTTGTATACAGCCGAGCAATGGAGCATGACTGATGTGTATTCTTGATCTTTAAGAAACATCTGGTTATTTTTGAGGGATCAAACCCCACAAAAAAGTTTTCATCTTCAGATTGAGAATGAACATAAAAGAACTTGTGTCCAAAGGGGCATTTTTTCATTCAGGACTTGAAAATAAAGGACTTACAATGCAAGTCCTGAACCATAACTGTGTCAAACTTCTGCAGCATACCCTGGCCAGCACAAATCACAGCAGAGCAAAGCTCAAACATGCCAACCTTAAAATACAATGCAATTAAGTTTAACTAAACTAATAGCTGGTGGGGGTGGAAAGGGGGGAGAGAAATCTACAACGGCAGAATCCACAACTTGCCTGGAGTCACCAAGTTTTATTTAAGAAATAATAGCTTGCGAGTACAAAGAAAGTTTAAAAGCCTCATTTTTCCAGTTGTGCCATAAAGATCATATACAATACCTTAGAAAACACTCCAAGCAGTACTTTACAAGCAATGGATCAAGTCAAAAAACATTTTTCCATTTAAGAGTGCAGATTAGAACAAACCTGTACAGATCTCACAGAGCCATTTGCTTCATGTTACAAACTGAACGGGTTTTTTACATGGGCTTATAATTGAACTTTGAAGACGATGCTTGATTTCCTGAAACTATGGTACAGGAAGTGGGGGCAGCATGCTGCAAAGGGGATGATCATTTCAAACGTGGCACCTTTCCAACATGATGATGGTAGTTTCAAACAAGGCACCTTTCAGAGTACTTATACACTGAACTCAGTGCTTTCTCCAAAACATTGCTATTTCTCAGAAATCTTAAATAGCAAAATGACACATTTGAAGATTTTTGTAATTTTTAGTATAAGTGGACTACAATCTATAACTCTCTTCAAAAAATACTGGTCAAGACACAGGGGAACTAAGTTTTTTCCCCACATGCAAATAAACTTTTCCCTCGACTCCTACCCTCCTCTTCTTTAGCGCCTGGTTCCTTTTTTGGAAAGATGGCTTCCCTTTCTCTGTTTGGTATATAAATGTGGCCCTAAAACAGCATTTTGTTTAAGTCAGTTAGCTGGTATTGGGAGCCTCTGTGCTGGGCATATAGCCAGACCAGCACTTTGCTTTGCCAGACATGCAAGAAACCCAGCAGCCAAAAACAGTCCATTCATTCAAGTTCTGTGAAAGATCTTCACTTGCAAGGACATTTTGGAAGCAACAGTTAATAACGCAGAGCATCGAGGTCGGTTGAGGTCTGGTGTCTATGAAGAGAGGCAGCTCTTTACAATTTAAGCTTCTGCCATTAGCAAAATGAGTTTGGTACCATGCATTTTACGCAGGTAAGGCCACAGGAGTACAATTTGCACAGATTAGCCTACTGACAGAAGTAAAAGATTAATTTTCAAAGCTGGGAATGACGAGCTACTATTATGACAACTTTCAGAAATGCAGGTTTTAATCATTTTCTTGCTGATGGAAGCTGTTAGATGAGAAGGAAAGTTTAGTGTTGATTCAACCACACATCTCTTCTGTGGGCTAGAAAGCAGTTTATCCAGAAAAGCACTGATACCACCAAATACTCCATGCTTAGAAAATTAGGAATCAACCAGATGAAGGCTTTGGATTTTTCATTTTACTTGTTACAAGAAAAAATGGTACGGAATAATCCCAGCAGGTGTTACATGCTGCTGCAGCATTTTTTCAGGGTGTTATACATAAAGCCATTTTAGTTTTCCTTAGAGAAAGAGTAGGATAACCTGGCATCGGTTGATTTTGCTGAATCTACTTGGTTACACTGTGCTGCACCTTCATCAGGGTTCCTTCTCTGGTGTAACTAAGTCGGTCCTGTTGTAAAGGACCGTCCAAAGGCGACTGAAAGCATTAGTGCGAGTTGTTCTGACATAATAAATAAGTGGCACACCAAGAGAAGTGCCCACAGGTCTTACCGCTGTATATTCCCATCCCTGCATGCAGAGTTCACATTCTCTGCCTTGAATAACTAGGCAATGTTTCCCAGGTGTCCATGAGTATTTTGGGAAGAGAGCGCAAATTCTAAATAACCCCATTCTTTGCAGGCTCTTGCACAGGAAAAGACAGCAACTGCAAAAACCCCCTCCGTCTCAGGTAAGGTAGAGAATGTGCTGCTGTTGGGCTGGAGAAGTCTCAATCCTTTGTTAACTTTCAATGATCCATACCATCACCAAACCTGACTTTCATAAAACAAAGTTCAGAATAAGAACCATTCGTATTTACCAAATGCAGGCAGTCAGGCCTTGCAGAAACGTGCTCTATTTATTAAGTATCCATCTACTGAGCTGGTACATTGTCAGAAATAATTGGTTTTAATGCCTCTAAATAGGTATCGGGTGCTAGCTACAGCCGAGGCTGGGAACTTAGACTGGGGTGTGCCAGTGCTCCTGCTGGGACCTGACCCCGCTCAGGATCAGATCGATGGTCATATTTGGGCTCAGGAAGGATTTTTACTTCATGGTCAGACTGGTACAGACCAGGTGAGGAGGTGGGCTGCCTTCCTTTGTAGCGGGGGGCATGGCCCTCTACCTGGGATCTCTTGAGCATGTATTGACATTGCACAGAAGAAGGACATTGGCTTCCATGGTTCCCCTGCTTTACCTGTGGCAGGTTCAGCTGTTAGGTCTGTGTTGCATCAGGGCTGGCAGCAGTCTTATGTACAGTTTAGATTATGGATTTGTCTGGGCTGGTTCGGACAGGGCTGATCCTGCCTCAGGCAGGGGGCTGGACTAGATGGCCTCTGGAGGTCCCTTCCAGCCCTGCTCCTCTATGACTCCTTGATAAGGAAGCAAGCAAATGCACTATGCATCCTCACTGTCCGGATCAGACATGGTTTCCAAGCCTTTGAGGATGCCACACTAGTCTTCAGAGTCATGAGAGAGCACAAGTGATGGTTGTCCAGGCTGAGTCAAAGACAGCCAGACATGATGCTGGCCACCCCTCTCCCATGATAACGCTGCCTACAAAAAATGGTCTTTTCCACACCAGCCTGGGAAGCCGTTCTTCCTTCTGTTCTCTGGTGGTTAATACAATGAAGGCCAAAGTCCTTCTCTTCAAGTCACTCAAGCTTCTCTTTACTACACTTAATGAGGTCAATTAAGGCAGCACAGATCGTTCTCTACCACAAAGCCCACTAAAAGGGGCTCCCCAACGGCCTGCTGCCTGTTCATGTATAGGAAATTGTATTCTACTGAAGCTGCTTTTCCTAAGTAAAGAGGAGCAAAAAAAACTAGAAAAGATGAGGCAGAACAGAGATGAAGGGAATAGAAGAGATGACAGACATGACATCCTGTGAAGAGACATGGAGTTAAGGCCATACATGAAGCTGAAAGCCACTGCCAGTATAGAGAAAGGAAGGGGAAGTTGGGGAATCACCAAAAAAAGAAGAAGAAAGAAGCAGCCTCATGCAGAGGTTGACAAGATGCTTGTTTGAGTACCATCCAAGACCCCTGCAGACAAAGCACAGCAGCTTAGCACATTTCCCCTCGCCAAGAGTATGCATTATAGGACATTGGGTTGTTTCTGTTTTCATCAAAAACATACAAAATTCAGGGGGAGACGGGAAAGATGGATTATACATTTTGCTCTGAATATTAAAATCCACAACCAAAGAAGATTATATCCCCTGCTACCACAAGCCTTATCCTCATTGCTGGCAGTTCCATTGTTTCCAGAAATTGAGTTTTTGTGAAGGTTTCAACCTCAAAGACTACATGCCGTGATTTGGGCCCACTTCATAGTATGTTTTGGATTTTGCACCAGGGAACCCAAGAATCATAAAGAGGTAAAGGAGCAATGCATAGGTTTCAAATGAACAACAGCAATCAAATTTAGGCCAGAATCTACAGTGGGGGAAAGTGGGGAAAATGAGATAGCAGCTGAAAGTGGGTGATGGTCAATATGAATAGCTCACATACGAGGAGGATAACATGACCTTAAAATAGTCATCTTGGCAAGAAACCTAGTTTAACCAAATAATCACCAGCTGCACAGCGAGGCTGGCCTGGCTTAGACACTGGCAGATACAAAAGCGGGGTAAGTTCAGCATAGAAGTGGCTCTGCACTGGCTTTGCCACTTGAAATTTCTTTTGGCGATTACTGTTAACCCAAAATGACTTTACTTTGCTCTTTTCCCCAGGTCCCATTCTGGAGGGTGATGACAAAACTGCTCTGAAGAGGTGAGAACTGGTACCGTTCTTTTAATGATTTTCAGAGTGTTTTGGCCCCGCAGGTGAAGTTTAGTATTACCGGAGTCCACAAAATGCTACAACTTAGTAATTATTGGCTGAAAACAAGCTCCTCTTAAGATTTTTGAAGGGCAGGCCTTACTTAAATCACCATGTATATAAGAAAATGGATGGGTTTCAAGTATCTTAAATTCTTATTATACAAGTCTAGCCATTGGGCTGACACTTATACAGACAAGATATTCCGTCTGAACCTTAATCAAGCAGTCACTGGTTTCCCAACACTTCCCTTTCACTAAGAGCAAATGCACTGCAATTTAAAATGATAATATATTTCTGCTTGATATAACACTTTCCTTACATGTGCTTTACAACCAAAGCCCAGCAAGTCTAGGTAAAGCAAGCGTTCACTCTAACCTACAGCGCAGCTGCAAGCAGCTTGAATAAATCACTTCCAGTCAGTCTGCATAGTTCAAAATGTAGACTGATTGGGCAGACAAATGAGCATAGCAATTTCAAGATAATTTAAATCCTTCTGTAGTTAAAAGCTAAATAAAGTTATGCAAGAGTTACTTTTACAGTGGACTTTGTAGGAAAAATATTTGCAGTTTCACTTTAAAATGTACAGAACAGCAAACTCCACTTTCCTCTGAAAGTTGTGTATCTGCTATTAGCACACAAGCCCAAGGTCTCTAATTTCAGGTTATTTTGAGTGAGGCTTCCAAAAGGACTACATCATTTATTTAATCTACTCCAGCTAAGCTCCCTGGTAAAACGGGAGTTCAATGACAACAGAAGTTAGTTCAAACCTAAACATTTGGCAAAATCCCCCTCCTTCCCCATGAAGTCTGGCTGGTTTCGTGGCTTCAGGGCCATAACATTTCCACTCCGCTGAGCCTACCTTCCTCCTGTAAACTCAGAAAGAACTCACCTGAACGCTTGCCCCTGGCCTGGAAAAAACAGTATTTGCCAGTAGCAAAGGCAGAAGAGCAAAACTGAAGATGCAGCAGGCAACAGATGGTCTATGCACACACAGGGAGGGACAGGATAGAGTACATTTGTGGTGCTCTCTCACCTGTGCAAGTGTCTTTTGAACAAGCAAGTGGGAAGTGCAATGGTTCAAAAGGAATTTAAAAAAAAAAAAAATCAAGTTGTCAGTGTCCTTTGAACTGGAGCTCATAGAATAAGTGTTCTCTTGCTTCGAATTAAGCCCCTGTGAAGGTAACGTGGTAAAGGCCCCTGCACCATGCTGTTCTGTGGCAGCTCCTACAGACAAGCTGCAATTGCTACAGATGTGGTCTGAAGTGATCGCAATTCAGCTCTCCATAGCTACTGAAAATCTAGAGCGTTTAAAAAAGGACAGGACAAAGGAAATTCTTCGGCGACCCCAAGATGTCACGTGCATGACAGAGAACCAGAAAAATGGCGTGTTTGTTTTCCTCGCAGTGTAGTTTACGGGTTTTAACTTTAAAAAACAAAGTACAATTAAAATACTTCAGGGTAAATATTTACTGTATTCTAAATTGGAGAGAAAAAGCATTTTTTGTCTGTATAGTTACAAATCAGGAACAAAGCTGTAAGCAATAGTCTTGGGCAATTTCATATAAACAACTGCATCTCAACACGCCTGCAATTTGTTAGCCCTCGCAGTCCCATTGCATAATTAAAATACTTGCAATTTAAGGCCCTGCAACAAAGAATGTGCAGCCCTCAGCAGGGTTTCCACTGCTGGCCTATGGAAAACAGATGCATGGAAAGTATGTACAGTGCACGTATGCAGCCGGCTACAGATAGCTTCAGTGAACATTCAACGCTGTCGGTGAGTTTGAGCATTAGAAAAAAAAACCATCGACCGTTGACTGTACCTTGAGGTTTATCACAGGCACGCTTGGATACAGTCGGAGCTACAAGAGATGGACTGACCTGCCTACCCGCCTCCACCCCTCTAGCCCCAAACCTTCTTGGTGCATAAGAATGGACTGTCTTGCATTTTCAATATTAAGGTGTGGTGTGGTGCACTTTTAAAACAGAAGATTTTGTTGAAATTCTAAGCAGAATTTCAGCCAAACAAGGTCTCTGTACATAAAGAAAGGATTTCCGTGAATGGTCCAGAAACAGCAATGCATCCACAGGCAAAAGAAATTTGGAAACTCATTTGAGAATAGTGGGTGTCCACAGAAGAGGGGTGTAGAGCAGCTCAGGATGGAAACCTATTTTCCATTTGGGCTGGCAACTCGAGCTTTGCTGGAGGAGCCTTGGAATGTCAATCCGTTTGCTCTCACGAACCGACACGACTACTTCCTCCCTTCAGTTTCCACCAACTGCTCAGCAGGAGAAGCAACCCAGAGGACTCGATCCCGTATCGCTAAACCCAGCTGTTCCTCTGTCTCACACTGTCATGTTACAACCAGGAGAGGAAAAAATTTCAGCCCCTTTCAAAGAACAGCTAACTGGCTGCAAAGTCGTCTCAGGAAGCAAATCCAGACACGGCACCCCCCACCTGTGTCTTCTGGAATAAGAGATGGAGCAAGGCACATGCAACATGCTTTAGAATAGGTGCACATGAATGCTTTTTTTTTTTTTTTTGCAAGAATTATGGAACCCAAAGAAATGAATTAGGCTAAAAATAAATTTAATTAGGGTAAAAATTCAAAGGGCCTCATACTGTAGGTTGCGACCTGCAAATGAAGATCCAGGGGGAAAAAAAAGCAGTCATACATTGTTTTAAAAACTGCAACAAGGTTAAGAGTTATGGAACAAAGACTGGAGGATATCTATTATTGTACAGTCTATTGTAAAGTCACACCAGCAAAAAAATAAATGCTTTTGGTGGATTTGACGGTTTCACTCAGGCAATCAGCATAGCCTGTACCAACACAAAGCACTCTTGTGCCACGGGAAGAGAGGGTATGCTGGTAGAGCTACAACTATGCCAGCAAACCTCTCCTAAATTGGGTTGAAAAGAAATGTTAATTGGTCAGAATCCATCTTTCTGAAAAAGTAAACTGAGAAGCTGTAAGCAGTAGTTGATACTTTCAATATTTAAAAAAAAAAAAAAAGTAAGAACGGTGACTCAAGGTAACTTAGCAGTCAAAAAAACGACTATTCAAAAATTGCTTAAGCAACTTAAAGGAGCACAAAGCTATGGTTAAAGTCAATGTGATTTCAGTATACTGAAAAGTAACAGGTGAAGGCAAGAGGAGTACAGATACCACCAACTTTAAAATGTAATTTTTGTGCTCCTGCAGTTCTCTGAAATACTCCATTTAAAATGCAAAATGGAATTTCTCATATTCAAGCCTTTGGAAAAATGCAGGGGAAATGTAAGACAGTCTAGTCTAGGCAGTGCAGGTTGAATCCTGAAACTAAGGATCTGTGACAAAACTGTTCTTTCATTAGCCACACTAGAGTCAATCATTTCTCCATCTTAAACAGTCCCTATTGCTAAGTTGTCTGCATTCCTATAATTTCGTCAATGAAAGTATACATTGCAGTCCTCACCAGCATAACGAATAGCCATGGGAGATGTCATCACATCCTGCATTCTTAAGTCATAAAAATACTGCAACCCTTTCATCGTGCAAAAGCGACTGGACTGAATCTGAAGAAATATGGCTGCACAGCTCGTGCATCTAATGGCTGCAATCAACATTCATTGCTGTCGGTGGGTTTTAGTTTGTACCAACTCACTGATCAATGAATGCAAACTGCGGACCAGATAGCTAAGAGTGCATGCTCACGTGGAGGAACGCTGCCTGTGGTTCTGCTCAATAAATACATTTTTAAACTTCCCCTCGGAGAATAGTATAGGACTAGGGCAGAACTCTTGGTTCTGGCAACAAGTAACTTAAATCTCCTCTCATTCACTGTCTACCAAGTTATTTATCATATAGCCAACAGGAAGATTTGTCAGGCTTCACGTTTTTGCACGAAGCAATGTCTTTGTTACCTTTGCAGAAAGCAGGCCCCACAGCTGGGCACAGGTATGTTTTGTAAAAATGGAGCCATCTGGTTTAAAATCTCGTTGGTCACATTGCAAGCTCTGTTTATGGGATTCCTACCGAAAGCACCACCTTGAGCTCCGACCAGAGACCTAGGATCACGACCTACTGGAACTGAGAGCCTGATGCAATAAAACCTACCGTCATTTTATGAACTGAAACAGTTCTCTCCTAAAATCAGAAGGTGAGGCTGACCAGTCTCCTATTTGAAAAAGCGCCAGAATAGATTTGAGTGGGGAACGTTTTCCCATGGAGCGCGTGTTGTCCAGGTATTTGCCCTATCAACATCCGCTGTCAATGCTCCAAGCACCTTCTAAGTTTACAGAGCATGACAGTGAAATGCAAGAAATGGGAACAACTCCTCCACTCGCCAAGGGGATGGATGAGATTATGACCCAACAGGTCTCTTCTGACTCTGATTTCAAAGGCCCTTCATAAACTAGAAGACATCTTACAGTAAACTATTTTTCATGCTTTTAAAGAGAAGTTAGCTCTCCTAAGGAGAGTTCAGGGTCGATTACTGCCTACAGCAAAGTACAACGCCTTAAAGGTGTTGGACTGTTGACACCAATATTAAAAAAAAAAAAAAAGTGGCTAAAATGTTTTTAATCACTTGCTCCTTGCTTCAACATGCCTCAAGTGATTTAGCTCCAGTTGTTCCTCCCAAGCTACAAATAAGAGTTAATATGAAATTTCTAAATGTACTTTTATCATATGAATCTCAAATGGACCCATAGAATTGGACTGGGACTTCAAAGAGGCATAAAGGTAGCTAGATGCCTGCTCCAACTCATTTCTATGAGCCCGAGATTAAATTCTCTAAGGCATCTTTAACAATCCCAGCACTAATTATCAATAACCAAAGAAATAAACGGAAGCACAAGTAACCCTGAGGTGTTGGAAATTCAACTTGTATGAAAACCGCCTCCTCTAGCAGGAAGGCTGGAACTACCATCACATTCTCCTTGGTTTTCTCCCGGGGACTACAAGTCTTCTGGGAACGTGGGTGAGGCCTGCAGCTGCTTTGCACTCAGCAGCTTTCATAAAGGTTTAGACAAAAAAAAAAAACAACCAACAACTTACACAAACACTTCTGACTGCAGAGCAAACGCAAACTGCACCCCAGGTATAAAACTGCACACATTAGTGGCCGTACAAAAAACTATGGGGAATAGGAGAGCCCACATGTACCGTGACCTTGCATCTACACACATTCCTGGTTTAAAAGAGGAGGAATATTCAAGTGAATTAACACAGGTTTTCCTGTTCTTCACAGAAAAGCAGCTCTACAGAGTCATCACAATGGGATGTCAACGATCACGGCATGTCACCAAGGCAGGAAACAAGATTTTAAGTCATTTTGTAAAATTTGTTAAAAGAGTTTTTCATATTTTCATTTTTTTAAAAGATCCTTTGAAAAACAAACATATACACGTTCAATGGAAAAATGGCTTCTACCTCTCGATAACCAAGCTCATGGCAGTCTGTTCACAGAGAGTATTTCAGGCTGGAGCTACAGATTTTCTGAATCAAGCTGTACATTAAGTGTTGATTCTTAGAGCAGAAGTCTGCCAAGTGCACATGGGTGGGTGGAGTATTTGTGCTAGTTGATTCGTCTGGTATGTTTTAAGTGTATTTTAAGGGTGTTGTGAGTTCAGCAACATAGGTTGGAAAGAAAAAAATATAGCCAAAATCTTTTTTCACTGAATTTATTTTGAGAATAAGGGCAGTATTAACTCCTAATACAACTCTGCCACCAGAAGGTGGCCTTAGATGTTTTCCTCTGTAAATAGGTAACCCCTGTGGTCAGAATAGAGCATCCTTTTTGGATTTGTGGGGGCTGGGGGGAAAGGAGGAAATCAACTCCTCAGGTCTACAACACTGAGGGTACCCTGACCTTATAGGGCTTTCTGCCGTGCCCCAAGAGTGATTCTGAACAGAAAATGTCAGCAGTTGTGATGTGCTCCCAATAAGCAGAACCACAGACAGGTTGAATGAATTTTCTCACTCTTGAGAGGAAGCCTCAGCGTGCAGAGGTGCTGCTCAAGGGGAGACAAGGGATGTCTTTATATGGACCATGTGCCCTGGGTTCAGTGGGCAAGCGGGCATTGTTACATAAACTGCAGGACTTCAGATGAGGAAGCAGGCACATGCTTTCAGGAAAGCAGAGGAAATGGTCCAAAAGGTCACTGCTTCCCACCTGACCCCACGTCTGAACTACTCCTCCCCTCCTCTCTGCAACTGGCTGTTTGGAAAATAAGAAAATGGTGGGGCATGTGGGATCTGGTTGGCTCAGCAGGTGTGCTAGGGCCAACCCACTGTGTAAGCCAACCTCAGGCAGCATTTTATTATTATTATTATTATTATTATTATTATTACTCCTTTTCTGCATGTTTGTCTCTTCCTCTGGTCTTATGAGGCATTGCTAGTGGAGAAGCATGCCCAGACATGCCGCTGGACACTGCTATAGCCGCTTACATCAGTATGAGACGTGCAGGAAGTCTCTTCCTGTAAACTTGCTGTGCAGCGTGCCGGGGTACCCATCACTGCACAAACACTCAGCATCCACTAACCTGGCTATTAAAAGGTAGTTGGGGGGGGAAGAGACGCCCAGATGCTTTACTAGCTGTTTTGCTTCGGCAGAAAGTCTGGTTAAACTCTCTCCTACCTACTGAAGGGAGATGGACTGCCTAGGCCCTCACAGGTGTGCCTGCTCCCCGTCCGCCTCAACCGACAGGTGTGGTTGTGCCTCGAAGGACCCGCAAGCTCCAAAATGGATCTGCAGCTTTTTCCTGCAATGAACTGCATTTTACATTCATACAACATAGGTTTAAGCACACGATTCATATCCACGGCTGTACTGGAAATGTGTCACAGTCGAAAGCTTCACCATCCAGTCAGTGAATGGTGCCCATAATAATGAGAGCTACTTGTTCAAATAACTATTTATAAGATCCAGAATGACTGAGATGGCCTGGAGCTCCTCCTGGGTTTACTTTTCCATAATTGTGTATTAGTTTTACAGATTATCTGTTTGCATAGATTAGGAGGTGAAATCAGTCATTTTGTAACATGCTAAAGGCCAGTAAACTTGTCTTATCTGCAATCTGTAAAACTGCCTAAACCTGAAGTCCTGCAACATTATAAAATCATTTATCTAAGCACGACCAGACTTTCACAACTCCTTCCCCGCCCCGTAAAAGAATCCCGACCATGCTGTCCTTTCAGATCTTGAGCACCAGTCTAAACACATTCTGATACCAGGCTCCCCTTCTTATAAACTGGAAAAATGCATCTTTTTTTCCTGAGGGTTTTTTTTGTTGGGGGGGGGGGGGGGGGTAAACTTGAAGGTCTTTGAAAGGAGCTGTTTCTCAGCCAGCAAAACAGAAGGCACTGCTCTTTTTAAGGCACACTGCAAGCTTCCTTTGGGCTGGATTTTTTCCAAAACCAAAACACTTCCCAAGGGAGCAAAAGCCAGAAAATTGCTGGGTTACTTGGACAAATTCTTCTTTTCTCTCTCAAAAACAAAACAAAACAAAAACACTTATAAAGGTATCTGGACTGTGAGATTCTTGCAAAATCAAGCCTAAAATGTGCTTAGTTCTACATACACGAATAAACCCATTGAACTCAATGGACCTGCTCACTTACATAAAGCCAAGCACACTGGCTCCTTGCAGGGCTGGGACTTTGAAGGCTCCTCTTTTCCCAAACTTCTGACACTGAAGGGCACAGTTCAGTTATTGAAGGCTTTTTCCAATAGGCACCAACATATTAACATTAGGGATCACTCTGCATTTCCACTGAAACACCTCGTTTTCAGGGGTTCATACCCTGATACAAAATGTTCAATGTAGCTTTGCTAAAAGCAGCAGGCATATTTACATGTTTAAACAAGTGACAAATAAATACAAGAGACAGAGGAATTCTGGTTTGGGATGCAACTTTTACTGCTCTTCAACATAAAGCGCAGCTTTTAATTTGAGTATTATGGAAGACAGTCATCCAAAGCATGATCGACCACTTTAGACTTTTCAGGAATACTTTTAAGTGATGATGGTGTACAAAGGAAATAAAGATGGCGCATGCATGCACAAGGCACCCACATGCACACTTTCATAGAAAATGGATCTTAAAAAAAAAGGGTTGGAAAGGACGTCAGGAGGCCATCTAGTCCAATCCCCATGGAATAAATAAATAAATAAGATCACTCAGTAGGCAGTAACAGTTCTGCTCCAGCTCAAGTGGAGTACAGAAAACGTGTGGTCCCCATACAAACCAGGAGTATATGTTTATTGCACGGGCAGACAGAACGCTCAATTTTCAAACCTGTTTGAGCTTTAAAATGGGTTGAACAGATTGCCACCATTTGTGCCAGTGAACTGGTTAAGTATCGTTTTGCTGTAGCCCTCCAAACTTACTATGCATTTTTCTGATGTTTTGTTTTCACCAACTGATTTTTTTTCTATCTTCTTGTACTCCTAGGTCAGAAAATACTTGGAGTTTGATTGTATGGGGTAAAGCAACAGCAAAATAAGCTCCTTGGGCAATGAAGTAAGGCAGAAGTGACGAATTTGGAAGGCAAGGTGGATAATCAGTTGACAAGGAGCTCTCAAAGATACGCTGGGCAAAGGTGCTAATGTGATTCTTGGCTGTAGAAACAGGGGACTATTGAATAGGAGAGCTATTATCTCTGTAGTTGGCACTAGTGTGAACGTTCCTGCACACGATGTGCAATACTGCTGTCCATGCTTCAAGAAAGATGCTGAAAATTAAGAAGATGCCAAGAAAACCCACAAGGAATGATTAAAACACCAGAAAACACACTATTTAGTGAAGGACTGGAGGAGCTCAATCTGTTTAGTTTATCAAAAGTTGAGCACTGACCGATGTAAGTACCTACCAAGGAACTGGCAAACGTACCTGAAGAAAGCTCTGCAATCTAGCAGACAAAAAGTTAACTAGAACCACTGGCTGCAAGTTAAAGCTGGACAAATGTAGGCTACAAATAAAACACAAGCTTTTAAATGAAGTAGCTATCAACCACTGGAACAATTTACCCATGGCTGTGGTAGATCCTGAAGTACTGGGAATTTTAAAATCCAGATAGGCTGTTTTTCCAAAAATTCAAGTATAGCTATTGAATTTGCAGCAAGAATTAATAGAAGGAAGTCCAGAGGCCTGTGTTAAATGGGATGCCAGAGTAGATGATTACAAAGGTTACTCCTGGTTTTACAACCTACAAAGTGGGGAGAAGCTCAATGACATAACAGACAGATGCTAAGAGTGATTTAAGGGAAGAAGAAAGCCAGGGTTCATTTCAAGTTATACAGCCTTACTTTGAGCATTCAGCAAATGTATTCAGATAATAGGAGGTCAATTTGCCTTAAGACCCCCTCAACAAGCTGAAGTAATGTTGGGTTAAAACAATAATTAAATGGTAAATTATTTTGCACAATTTAACGTAAACGTACCCATTTTCAAAAGTGCGTATGAAGTTTATGTGCCCATGCACATGAAGTTACCACCACTTTTCATGGAAAAATTGATCATCTGCAACTGAATCAATCAACTAATGCAAAGCTGGCTTCCTGACACCAGTCTAGCTAGATCATGCTACTGCTCATGATAAATACCATTTTCACAAAGAATCATGCATACACACGCAAGAGAAAAGTCCAAGGAGCTTATTAAATCCCAAGCCACCAAGGCGGCAAAGGCTTGCCACAAAACAATCCCAGTACATGCAGGTTCTCCCAAGCTGTGCTGATCTTTGGTAAGAAGCCAGCACAGTCCATCAACACGATGAAAAGGGTACGGAGACATCCTGGGCTTGGGACCTCCGTGTTGCAAAGACCATTATCTTCTGAAAAACTCTGGTTAGCCGTTTACCTCTTCTGGGAGATTCCAACTAATGGAAAACACTGCCTTGGGAACAAGAAATCTGCACTTTAGATGCAGATGTTCAGAATCCGGGCCGTTGGGTTCCCATTGTCAGATAAGGACTTGTTGCCACCTAGTGGATTATCACTGACAAAGGCACACGTTTGGGCAGCAGATGCACTAATTACCACTAGATGGAGTCTAAAAAACAAACCACTGCTTCTTGTGCAAGGAGAAGGATTTTAAGAGTCCCAAAGCCAAGATTTCAAGCAGCCTAAGTGAGTTAAGCACAGATAATTACATTAATTGAACAGGATTTGGGAACCTGACTCCCTCAGGCTCCTGAGAAAATCCCGGCCTGAGAGAGTGGGAGAGCATCTGTACACAGCGCCCTGTGCATAGGGAGTACGGGGGGTGGGGGGTTGACAATACTAGCACAGATAAGCCACTAAAAAATATCTTGAGAGTATGGGAAAATTATGCTGGTAAAGAAATAATGCTGTTCTTTATTTCACCATCTACTCCAGGGGTGGCCAACCTGCGGCATGCATGCCACAAGTGATACAGCAGCCTGCGCATGGCATGCAGCAGACCGGGGAAGGGGGGGGACACCACAGTAGCTGATAGTGCAGGGAGCAGAAAGCAGAGCAGCAGATTGGACATGGAGCACAGGAACAGAGTAGAAAGCAGAACCCAAAGGATAGGGATCGCAGTGGCACTCAGTGGGGATGCAGGGCTAAGTTTTGGCATCTCTGCCAAAAAAAAGTTGGGCCCCACTAACCTACTTTATGGCCTTTGCTGGAGGAGAAGGGAGGGGAGGAATCAAGGACACAACTGATACAGCTACACCTGTAAAAAGTCTCAGCACAGGCTAGACCTATGGTATTTCTGTGGAAAAGGTAAGGAGAGGCAACATCCTTAATGGTCTTCTTCAGTAAAGATTTAACTGCATTGCTTTTCAGAGCTCCTACACTGAAGTAGTATCATTTGTCTGGCAATCTCAGATCAAAAAACAAAGTTGTCAGCAATGAAGAAATTCCACCTGGCCGTGCGGGACAAGAGAAAGGAGGTACTTACTGCCCATGGAGCTCACGGGAAGAACAGGAGAGGAGGAACTCATCTGCTCCACATCTGTAGCTAACGAGAAAGACAGACTTTAAGAATACTCATTTCTGCCATAAAAATTATAAAATTTACACTCTGAACAAGCTGAGTTTACATTTAAACCATCTCTTCCCTCATCTTTAAAGTTTCGCCTTATTTGAGAAAAACAATATGCCAGCCTTGGCTT